TTGACTGTTTAGGCTGAATTGCAGTACTGAAATACAGTAAATTTTATCTCTAAAACCAGTAAATCACAGTCCAGTGAAAGTAAAAACTTCCTCTCAATGTGAAATAAAGGTCTCTTTCCCTCCTTAAATGCACAGATAAATTGATGAGTTCATCTTCTGTTCTGAAGACCAGCTTATTACTTTATATGTAAATTGAATACGACTCTTAAAAGATCTTTTATTTTTCTGTCAAAGGATTATGGTTGGCAGAGAATGTGAAAACTGCTTAGGGGAGGGTACTATGCCAGAGAGGGAAAGATTTTATATTGTATCATATAGCATCATTTTTCAAGTGGATTTTGAGAGATTTTAAAGTGTAAAAGTGTTTCATACACATTCTAGAGCACTRCTATATTGTTTTCTGAATTGGATCATTTGTCAGTGTTGGCTGATGTAGGACAGACATTTTTAGATTGGTTTGTCTTCTTGATAGTCTGTAAATTTCTTATGAATTAGTCTGATGCTTGTAGCATACACCACTCTAATTCTTACATCAGTGTGACGTGGATTTAATCAAAGGTAATCGTCATCTGCTGATTTTTAGAGTTTCTCTGGCACCACAAGGCTGAGAGTGTGTTGTTCTTTAGTAAACAATGATTTCATGAGCTTAGTCTAGTCAGATGATTAGATGTTTTTCCAGGGGTTCAGTATCTTGTTTTGATGTTTGTCCAGGGTTCAGCGTCTTGCTTTTCTTCTGAAACTGGTTTTGTTAGTTTTTTTTCTATCATGTTTGCCTAGTAACAGCAGCAGTAACACTTCACTTCTCCTAGTTGCTGCTTTCTAGTTTTGTATATCCAGGGATGGATTAGCTTATGATCTTTGTGGATGTTCTCATCTAATTGTTTTTCCCTATGATTCTTAAATTTTTGGACTGTATTTGTAGCATTACATTGGTAAGGTCTTGCTAAATGTATAATGTAACAAGAATGTAGATTTTTGAGATGTACTCCCTGGACAAATGATACCGTGTGTTTTTTTCTTTTTTTTCCCTCCTATCTTTAAATTTATGCAATCATTCTTATTTTCTTTAACCTTTTGTTTGTTTGTGTGCTTGTTTTGAGAATCTGTCCGTGAGTGCTGGAAGACATCCTTATTTTCTGATGACTTTAAACAGTTAGAATGGTCTAAGAAATTAGTCCATTTAACTTAAYTTTTTTTTTCTATTGACTTTTCTGAACAGAATTATGCAGTTCAGGTGTTACGTAATGCTAAGCTTAATATTGCATGGGTTGTATTTGCATAATTTTGTTTAGTAGACCTGTAATACAGTTTACTGTAAAATGTATGTTTAAGAGCATTGTGTCAATATTCTGGTATATTCAGTCTCATCAGGATTGTTTATAATCAAAACAAGGGTGCCAGCTGTGGTGAGGTACTCTGTTGTTTTGTATAAATAGAGCTTTCTGGTAGCAAGAACTGTTTCCCCCAAAATTGGGCTGTAAGTAAGTGGATGGAAGTGCTTTTGTGGTCACTGCTGCCATGCGACTTAAGGCAGCCAGAGAGTTCAGTAAGACTGTAGATAGACTGAGCCGTGTTTAGGAGATAAGCAATAGATGAGGACCTTATTCACGTTGACTCTATCAGCAGGTTTGGTTACCTGCAGTACTCAGTAACATGTCAGCAGAGGAGTAAAGGATACTGGTAGCGTGTAAAGTCCTGGTTTTTATGAGTATTTTTGCAGCTGTTTCTGTGGTACCAGCAAAATAAAATAGTTTTGCAAACTTTGCACTGGGAAAAAACTAATAGAGATGTAGCTTTTGTGTTTGTACTTTGAGTAGTGTGGCATTTGTGTGTGATGCTTACTATGTGTTTATATATATTAAAGTTGATAGAAGGGGCAGGGAGCAAAGTATGAAAGAAATATAGTAGTGACTTAATTGTCCTTTTGCATTGATTCAAGCTTTCTTCTCCTATCCTTTATTTCTACTGTTTACAGGGAAGAGGGGAAAAATAACTGCATAAGCATATAATCCACGTGATATGTAAATAAAAGGAATCCTGTTACTYGTGATTTAGCAAAAGTTAGGTACTGAAGATTTTGATATGACTGTTAACCTGTAACTTCCCTTGCCTTCAACAGCTTTGTTATATTTTCCCTTTCCAGATTTTGAAGTTTGCAGCATGCACTAAGAAGTGGGCAATTTCTCTGTGAAAATAAATTAGCAAAAGTACCCACATGCTCTTGAGGAGAGATAGTACTAGGGACTAATTTTTTTAAAGTAGGTCTAGGAAGATTAGAACAGCAGATAACAGTATGGTCTATGGTCATCTATGGTATGCAATGGGAAACAAGCTTGCTGTCATTATGTAAGGGTCTGCTTTCACTGGGTTGTCAGTTGAGAAATGTAAATCCCTGCTTGAAAGGAGAGTGGTGTTAAACTTTTGAAGACATCAGATCACCCTTATCTAAGACTTATAGTAAAGAAAGCTTTTTAAAGTCTTCAGAATGGCTTGCTATCTCAGTGAAATGCCTTGAACCTGCAGAAATAGATTTTTATTTTTTTAAATCTTTTCTACAAAAGAGAGCTGTAGTGAGTTAGATAAGGGTGATCTAGCATGCATGCTTACACTCTCATGTGTAGAGCCTTACACGTAGAAAGGCTCTTTTACATTATAGATATTTTTTAGGAATCTTTTAAAATAAAAATAGATGCAGAACGCAAAATACTGAACAATGATATGTCAAGTATGGAAAAAACGAGTACAGGTGTGATGTCTCCTGTAATGTGTAAGTACAGATGCTTATAAACTGAAGAACTTTGTTATTTGCTAATAAGTCAATACTTTAAGTAGTCTGCATCTTTCTTTGTCGCTCTTATTTCTAATCTTGATTTTCCTTTGAGAGTCTTCCCTTGAGGCTTACCTATGCTTGATAATCATTGTGGCTAAATTTCAGATAGTCTTCAGGAAAGTACTCTGTATCCATCAACTCTTGTTTCACTTCCATTTTATCCATAATTTCTGGTGTGGTCTTGTGTATGCGCACATGGTTCTGCCTACGCTGCCATCTCCCTGAACAATCTTGCTAGTGTAAGGATCCTCTACAATGCTGCTGTTTTGTTTACCTGTACCCCCTTACTTGCTCTAAGACACTACAGATGAGAACCATTTCATCATTTAAATCCTAATAGTTACTTAGTTGTATGTACATGTTWTATCTTTACTTTATTTCACTTCTTGGAAATTCTTATGTCTGTGTAACTGAAATTGTTGAACAGTCTCGCTTATGCGGAGTATTTTACTGTCCTTAAGAAAGAGGAGTGTACACTCCTGTTTGAAATCTAGTCACTGCATAGTATCTTTATACAGACTGTCATTTGAGTAACTATCTAAAAGAAAGGAGCTTCAACTGAGCTGTAAGAATGTGAAGGATAGTAATATGATAGACTGGGGAAATTGTCAGCAAAAATAGACCCCATAGATGAAGGCATTGAAGGAACTGTGCCCCATAGTTCACATACATTAAAGTGTTTACTGATTTCACAATAAGAAGATMTATGTACTTTTTTCAGAGGCTACCTCAGCCAATAAGAAGAACGCTACAACCATGTAATTCTCCGAAGATGTAGTGAACTTTTTTCAGAACCAGAGTTTTCTTCTCATCTATCTCTGAGTCTTCCCTATACCTTCCATCTATTTTTCTTCGCAACTGCACAAAATGTAACAAGTAGCTATCATAAAAATGTTAATCAGTCTCTTGTATCATGAAGTGTAGATACGATTTAATGAAAGGAGCTATTATCTATTCTTGATCTGCTGCTCTGTCCGTTTACTTCTAGCTCTTAAAAGAAGCCCAGAGGAGCAGTAGAGTTTTTGAAGCAAGTAGGCTGTACTCAGATTGGAGATAAAATCTTTCCCTCATGCTTCTTGGAAGATACTATTTACAATAATTAATAAAAGTTAATATTGCAAGAATTGGTATCTACAAATCAAATGTACCTTGCTTAAGAGTTTTAATAATACRTTTGTAAAAATATACAATACACAAAACATAAGCCCTGTTACCTTAGTCTGAATTTTAGAAGTATATACTTAGGAATTTGTGTTTCTCTTCTTTATATAATGTAAGTAAACAAATAAAGTATGTGTCTGAATTGTAGCCTTTTGAGTGAGAGGCGAGTGAAAAAGTKTAACGGGAAAAGAAAGAGCTGCCATGCACAGAACATATATAACTGATTATTATAAAATCTCCAGAGTGGAGATAGATACTTTGAACTCAAATGAACAATTGATTACAGGTCCAGTATCCTTCTAAAGTGGATTCAGATAGAAATGCAGAAAACTATTCTAAATCAAAATGTAATCCATGAAATGGATGGGAAAAAAAATGTTTATTCGAATAGCCACACAAATTCTRTCACAGGCTAGGTCAGAATTGTACAATACATATATTCTGAGGTGAGGAGATACTAAGTCATTATTTCATTCTGCTCTTAAAATACAGAAAATAGAGATTATGTTTTAAAATACAGCAATTAAAAAACCATGCTCATATATGGTGCTTATTTTCTAAAAYATTCCATCTGCTTGCATTGCATTTCAGATTTTTATAATCAGGAAAGGTTGAGCAGAGCTCTTGCATTCCCTGTGTTTTAAGGCCAGTTGCAGGCCAGAGGACTCTGTAAGCATGAAAAACTTGAAAGTGTGTGTTGAACGTAAGAAATTATACCTTGAAGTTTAGTAGCTTGTTGCTAGAGACAGGTTTTTTAGGGGTCTGAAAAGACTGTTCTGTAATTTTTTTCATTTTTTGGACTTACGACTGTATCTGTGTTGTGTACCACCTCTCTCTGCATTTGTCAAGGTAAGAGATGACATTTCTGGAGAAAAAAAAAAAAAAAAAAGCTTAGAAAGATGCTTACTGGTAACCTGACAGAGCTGTATCTGAGATACATGGAAACAAAGTATGGGTATGTGGTGATTGTTCCCAGATCTGGGAATAACGTGTGTGTTTCTCTTTTCAGTATGATGCTGTTCCAATCCAATCTGGTGTGGTATTATGCTCCTGTCCATCCCCATCGATGGTGAGGAACCAGACAGATTCCAACACTCCACCTGTCATTTCCACATGTGGCAGCAGACAGGGATCTAACATGGAGGGCACTGCAGCTGAATCAAGATCTAGCTCAAATACCTTGCAGCAACATACAGGACAGCAGCCTTCACAACCTCGAAAGAAACGACCTGATGACTTCAAATTTGGGAAAATTCTGGGTGAAGGATCTTTTTCTACGGTAACTTTATAAAAAGTTCTACTTGTTTGCCAGATACTCTAGGAAAACCTCAAAATTTGATATGCAAGTAATACCACTAGTATTTCCACCTGGAGAAAAACAGCTTGGAAAGTGAATAAGGAGTGAATAAGTGTATCTTTTTGGCTCATGATAGTTCTGTACTATCTTGAAGACTTGATGTTTGGATTTTTAGGAGATGATGCTTTTCAAATGCAAGGTTTTGATGGCTTAAGGGATTATGTTAAGAGTCTGCTGACTAAAGAATTGGAACTGGGCTAGGATAATAGCCTAGTCTGTCATGGTAAGGACTTACAGAAGGCCATAGGGTCATAGGGTTTGATCCCTTATAGGGTCAAAATGTATGACTTAACTGTTACTATTCTTCTCTTTTAGGAAGACAGCAGAAGACTGTTCAGTTACTGATGTTTAAAATACAACCTTACTGTATTTGCTATTGAACTTTTTTATTAGAAAATTCCAGTATACTTACTTTTGTATTTTGATATAGTAAAAGTCAATATTTTATAATTTCAACTATAGCTTTATATGCATAATCTTTTGCAACAGCAATATATGTGAGATACTGACTGACTGGATAGTGGCTCTGCTGAAAAGGATTCAAGTGTCCTGTGCCCAACTGCCCACTTAGGTGGGCAATAGAAGAAACTGAGTGCCATGAAAAGGTTAATGCTTGTATAGACCTGTTTTGATCTTTACAAGCAGAAGTTTGGTTACCACAGTATTTGGGGACTCAGCTAGCACTAGTAAAAGCATATTCAGGAGTTGGAGTTCTACCAATCTATCTTGTCTTCTGTCAACTGTAGCAGTGTCTGGTTTGCTGTTTCAGTGTTATGATTTTTAGAAATTCATCAACAGTTTTGATATGTCACCTAGGACCCATCAGTTTCAATTATTCTCTTCAAGAATAACTCCACAAGAGATCTTGCTTAGGTTTTTTTTTAATAGCAATTGAATAAGTTACAACAAAGTAGTTGCTTCTTACTATTTAAAAAGTTGGATGGGGGAGTAATGACAAATTTGAACTTGAGCAACTTTTTTTTCTTTTTTCTTTTTTAAATTCAAAAACTTTAAGCTCAAGTAGCCCTCTAATTTGCTTCGGGAAGGAAGCTTATTCCTGACGGTTTGGGAGGCATACATCTTTATTCTACTGTTTAAAACATCTTGCAGACAGATTTTTGATAAAAATGTTTGCAGATTCAGAGATGTGTTGATGATCTTCCCTAATATGCTAATTGAACTCCTGCACATTTCGAAAAACAGGGGCATTGGTATTTCCATGCTTTCAGTGACAGCTTGGTAACATTGACATTTAAAAAAAAAAAAAAATTATCTGGACTGTTATGAGTCAATTCAATTTGCTTGGACTTTTGTTCAACTACTGTAGTCTCCATGTGGTGCCAGTATTAAATTTGGAATTCTTTAAAGATGCGKGTGACCTGACCTTAAGGCACTTTTGTCTTGAGAGCATTTTGAACTTTTGCAGCAGCAGCTGTCTTTAGACCCACAATTGATACAGGCGGTTATAGAAATTTAGGTAAACTCTGCCTTGGGGCCCTCCAGTTGTTGCTCTGCTATTTAAAGTTGTGAAAATCTGCTTGATTTGTAAACAGCTTTCTATTCTTCTTAGAATAGTATCTGTTCTCTGATAGAAGTATAATCTTTGTGCTTAGATACACATGTTGTCCTTTTTACCACCTAGATAGCTGATGTGTTCTTTCCTTGGGTTTATTTTCACCTGAAAATGAGGTTTTCCCTTTGTGCAGAAAAATCTCGCTGTCCAAGAACTGAATGTCCAAAAGGAGACAGAGGAGACTCAAAACTTTATTCGAATAAAGGGAGAGTCCACCGGGCATATCCCTGTGGGGTCTCTCAGGTTGCAGGGGGACGCAGCCCGCCTTTTATCCTAGTCTGCTGGCCGCGGTGCCCTCTCCTTTTCCCCATTGGCCGAGGGGCTCAGGAGTCGCAGGCTGCCCGACCCGCCTACACCCAGCTCGGTGCCTCCCCCGACGTGTTAGCACCTCAGGTCCTTTGACTCCTTTGTGACCCCCTCGCTCCAGGCCCCCCCCAGCCTCTCCCCCCACTCCTGGCTCCACTCAGTCTCCCACCTGTCTGGGTTCCTTTTGTCCTGCTCGTTAAAGATACAAACTTAAAACTTGTGATGTGTATTCTGCTCAAGCCCAAACTTCTTGTGTGTGTTTTCCACACACCTTTAAAAGAAGATGCTCTAAGAATTGTGTCTGGCTAAATACAGTTTTTCAGACTAAGTACTGAAGTATTTGTTCAAGCTTAGAATTTGATTTGAACATTGTCTGCCAGGTATTCTGGGAATTATTTTTTGTAGTCTTCTCTTGAGGGTACTCTTAAATTTCTCAAATTGGAAGAAAGCAAAACCTGCAATTTGAGAAATTTAACTAAATTGTCTATCTAATACTGAAAGAGTGCAACTATATGCACTTCTCTTTTACTTGAAAAATGAATTCCCCTGGAAAGGGTCTTATTTAGAAATGTGACGTGTGTGTGCGCTCCCCAAGATAACCATATTTTTATTAGGTGTGTAGAATGCGGTTGGAGTACTCCATTATAACTGACTTTGCAAGGAGGCTATAATATAATTGAGAAGTGAATTAGAAACAAGCTCTCTGTGTGCGTATATGTTGTATATGTATATAGTCATTTTTTAAATTGTTTTTGCATAATGTGAACATTCTGAAAATGTGTTGGAATAACTACAAATTCAAAATGAGGGGAGTGAAAAATTTTGTAATTTTGAAACTAGATTATTGACTTAATTCAGGTAAGAAGATTTTTTCAAACTCTTTTAAAGTTGTCTTTTATGGAACTACTTTCTTGAAAGGCAATTTGTGTTTCTTGAGAGTTAATTTGTATTCCTCTTAAAAATGTTTTCCTTTAAAATGTAGAACGCCTTGGTTAAAACTTTCACTCTTACTTCTGTTATTTGGAAATCTCTTACTTTATTGGACAAACTGTGAATATGTAATATTTAGCTAACAAGCAAGCTAAAAGCTGCTTTATTGCAAGATGCAAGCTGTCTTGCTGCTTTAATCTTTTTTTTTTTTTTAAATTGCCATTTATTGTGAAAASGTATTGTGGCAATTGATTTTTTATAAATATTTTTAAAGTACTATTTTTTTCTTTAAGGAGCTTCCACAGTTTGCTGTGGCTTGTGTTGCAATCTTCAGAAGTCTTATGAAAACAAAATCTAAACTAGTGATTACCGAATCAGATTTATAGGTCTGTTAGCAAAACAAGTGGTCTTATGCTTAACTTAATTTCTGCAGAGGTCTCACAGAAACCAGCATAATGTGAGCATATGCTTAAATATTTTGCTAATTGGAGTTGTGATGGTTTATTTTGGGTAAGGAATAGGTTAAATACTTACTGCAAGGTCAAAATCAATGTTACTAAATGTCTGTAACGAATAGCTACATTGTATTTTTCTCTCCTATCACAACAGGTTGTCTTGGCCCGAGAACTAGCAAGTTCTAGAGAGTATGCCAGTAAGTATTGACTCCTTCCATATGAACTTTTTTTATATAAGATATATCAGTGTAGTTAAAGTAAGAAATAAGGTCTTTATGCTAATTTTATCTAAGAGGAAGTTTCCSAAATTTGATTAGATGAACTTCATTTGGTTGCTGTTTCTCTGCACTTTCACTCTCTTTTTTTTTCTTTAAGTTAAAATTCTAGAAAAACGTCATATCATAAAAGAAAACAAGGTACCCTATGTGACACGTGAGAGAGATGTAATGTCCCGTCTGGATCACCCTTTTTTTGTGAAACTCTACTTCACCTTTCAAGATGATGAAAAGCTCTGTATCCTTTTGAGTTCAAGTATTTATTGCACTTTCTCAGAAAATCCTTTAAAACATCAGCTATTAGAAAAATGAAAATAGAGTATCTGAAATAGAGACAAATGTTTGACATGTTTTTTGAAGTCACACTTTTAATAATAAAAATTAAGTGAATAGAATGGTTGTGCCCCCTCAAAGAGAAGCAGTAATGGTGGGGATGGGAAAAGATGAATATAAATTATTTTTGTTCATGTTGTATATGCAAAAGGAGGAATTTTAACGATTAATGTAAATAACAGAGTGGATTTTCRTGGGATGTGGATGAAGTGTTTCTGATGCATACATTTAATTTTAAATATAAGAACTTTGGTATTTTAAGTAGCCTAACTACATTTACTGTTGTTCCTCATTTAAACAATTACATCTTTTAAGGTTTCTTTTCTGTAAGCACTTACAGAATAATCTGAACTAGAGAATATTGAGAACAGTTCTTGAGCAACTGTTCTCAGGTCTTTGCCCCAGCAGTAGTTGCAAACTGGGGTTTCAACTTGAAAGCTCGTCGTTTACAATCAGTTTGGTTAGTTTCCTTTTTGTTTAATTTTTCCTGAGGGGGTTGTCAGTAATGTGAGTTTCTAAAAATCTGTGTGGAATTGGCTTTGCTAAGGTGTAGAGGTTAAGTAGCTGGTTTTTTGTTTGTTTTTGCAGAGGCTCCTAACTGTGCTAAGAGATTTTGTGTATGAATGTCTGTGTGTGTGTGTATGCCTGCATTGACAGGACTTAAAAGGGCTCGTCTTCTCTAACGTAAATATCACTTGTACATAAGACTAACTTTTTTGTAACTTTTGAGATGAAGGACAAAAGTAAGCTTAGATTTAATGTTCATTATGATTGTAAATGGCTTTGTAATCAGTTATGTATATTGTTTAAAATAATCATTCAGATGATTGTCTCTGGAAAAATTACAACTTTAACTCCTATTTAGCTCTTAGTAGTCCTATTAATTTAGAAATTGTTATGGATTTTGAGTACATTTAATAAGAAAATGTTTTGGGTTGTTGGAATGTAAAATTTCAAAATGAACTTTCTGTTGCTTATTTCATTTTATTCATTATTTTGATTCTTTAAAATAAGCTGGGAGTTCTAATTTTGTCTTTAAAATGTCCTAGTGATATTACCTTATCTTCCTGCATTCAGATTTTGGGCTTAGTTATGCCAAAAATGGAGAGCTTCTAAAGTATATACGCAAAATTGGTTCATTTGATGAGACCTGTACCAGATTTTATACTGCTGAAATTGTGTCAGCCCTGGAGTATTTGCATGGGAAGGGAATAATTCACAGGTAACTTACAAAAACAAGGTCAACATGCTTTTGACTGTGCACAAGGTATTTTTTTAGAGGTATTCTTAAGCCTAAATCAAACATGTACTTTATGAAAACTAATGAGAACATAGTAGTGTTTCATTAATGATAGTCTAATAGGCGATTCAGCCCCTTACTAGTAGACCAACTGATTTAGCTGTAAAAATAAGAAAAACATTGTCATAGGACTTACATTCCTAAAAGCTTTTGTTTTTCAAACTAGGTAGTCTGAAAACAGAAGTTGGATTTTTGGTAACATTTTTTCCCCTGACACATCATCAGTAAAAGTAAATAATGTAAGCCAGTTTTCACTGAGTGATCAACTTCCACATAGCTGGATGAGAATTAAGTAAATGGTGAAGTTTTTTCATTGTGTTCATATTATCTGAATAAACATTTTGTCAGTATTGAATAAATTTTAAAATTGGTTGGTGTGATACTCAGAAGAACTTGTGAATTTAAGAAGTATGAGCCACACAACTGGATTTTTGAAAATAATGTTGCATGTGTAAGTTTCCAAACAGTTGCTTATGGAGTAGTTGATGATAGTTGTCAAAAAAMTGGCTAATCATAATTCTGATAGTGTTTTACTACTTCTAGTTATGTTTAAAAGGCCAAAATATTTTCTTAATATCTTTCTGTAATATCTATTTCCCTCTGGGAATAGAATCTAAAATGGCTGTGTAGAAGTCACTGAAAGTGTAAATTTTTTAACTGGAATTTAAAATGGAGCATATACTACAAAAAGTTGAGATATGCAATTTCACCTTTTTTATAATAGACCTTCTATATTAGACAAAGAAAATGCTTCCAAAATCAATATAGCATGATTGTCAGTCTTACCAAGCTTATATTTGAAATCTTTTATAATACAAGAAGTGTTATTCTTATTTTGAGCTTCTCATGATGATCTTCAAACAAAGTTAAGTATAAGGTTGTGGGATCAGGGAACTCATTTTACAGTCTATTTAAGTAGGAGACCAAAACTGTAACATTGTCTGGAAAACTCTTGACATTTTCTGTTAGACATATGACATCAGACAGAACCACTTAAAAATGACAGCCTCCTCTTAAAGTTAGTATGGAGATGTGTGTATAATATTTATATACATATACATTATTAAATTTTGTGCATAGAGGAGCCTCCTGAGATTTGATAAAAGGAAATGTGAAGTCCTACACCAGGAGGAATAATACAGGGACATCATCTGAGTGTGTACAAATCACTGATAGGGAGAATGTAAATAAGATGGAACCAGTTTCTTTTCAGTGCTTCCCAGGGACAGGGCAAGAAGCAACAGACATGAATTGAAACACAAAAATTCCAAGGTGTTTAAACCTTGGAAAGGATTCCCCAGAGCGGTTGCTGAGTCTTCATAACCGGAGATAATCAAAAAACAAATGGACACTGCCTTGAGCAGCCTGCTCTAGTAAGTTTCCCCTTGAAAAGAAAAATGGGAGCAGATGATATCCAAACATCCTTTCCAACTGTTCTGTGGTTTTATGATAAATATATAAATACACTGAACAGAACTGTTAAAAGGTTATTCCATTCATATACTTTCTGCCAGTCTCAAGCTTTGTCAAAAGGTGTATATAGGAGAACAAACAAGATTATTTTAATAGTTTAGGTGTCCTAATTATGTAATTCCAAGAGTGTTCTGTGCTGGTCCATAGATCTTTACCTCCTGCTATTTAAAAAATACTTAGTTGTGCAGTTGCAACCAGTTCTAGGATTTAATTAGATATAATCTGAGGAAAATAATGCTGCACAGTGGTCAATGGAAACAGCCAGAAACAGTGTTTTTTTTGTTGTTGTTTTTGTTTTGTTCTGTTTGTTTGGTTTTTGTTTGGTTTTTCTCTCTCTCCTTATTGGTGAACTAAAGAGCTGTGCCCCACCCGAGTTTCTAGATCTCTGTGAGCATCCAAATATCCTCCTTAGAATGGCAGTACATGGGCCTCTTGTCAATTGAGGAAACTTAGTATGAAGTAATTATTCTCGTAACAGTGTAATCTAATGCATTTATATATATATATATTGCAAAGTGAATCTCTGAACATCTAATTACACATTGTTACGTGTAGGTGCATGAAACTGAGCTTTGATTTTATGCATAACCAGGGACAGTGAATATACAGGTGTGTTTGAAATGCGGATTACATAGGGACTTGCAAGTGACAAAGGTAAAGATGCCACTCTGAGTGGCAATATGCTACAGATTTCATCTGTTAGAACCATTTAGCATAATTAGCTGATTTTTGCCCTTATTTGACTTAAGTGAAGTTCTGCACCGTTGATAAGTGGGTTTAGAATATATTATTGCCATACCAATCTGTCAGAAATTTAAGGCTTGAAATAACTGCTTTTTGGATTTTGAACAAAACACTGAGTGTACTTTGTGATGAACTATTCATGACATCGCTTCAGGTGTTTTAGAATTTTTTAAAAAAAAGCTTTGCAAAATCTGCGAACATAAGTTTGCATCTTGACAACTACAGCTCAAGATGGTATAACAATGCTTGCAGAATGTGTGTTTTATGATAGTATTATATATATATAAACCAGCCAGGCTGTTTTGCAGTGTTAGTTTAAGTACTGTTTTTATATTAAAACATTATAAACCTTTTTCAGGGACCTTAAGCCAGAGAACATTTTGCTAAATGAAGACATGCACATTCARATAACAGATTTTGGAACAGCGAAAGTTCTATCTGCAGATAGCAGACAAGGTATGCAGTTATTCACTTGTTCTAGCTAACTAGGAAGTGGTTCCACAGAATGTATGTGAGATGAATTTATACAATTATAACCTTTGACCATCATTGCCCCATAGCCCACCAAAAAATAATTAGGAATTTCAAAAATAATTTTCATTCTGCTTATGCTTAGACTGCCTAAGAAATTGATTGATAGGTTGTCTAAGACATGGAGAGTAGATTGCAAAGGAACACAAGCTAGCAGCATCTGTTGCTTTCCTTGGGCAGCACTTTGAGATTGTTCAACTGATTGATTCCAGCTCATGAATATTTATACAATGAGATAATTATAATATTTTAGAAAGATCATCTTTGTGATAGACTTTTTTTTTCTTACCAGCATATATAATAGGCTTATATTGGTAGATTTTTATTTTGTTTATTTTGTTTATATTTGTTTTGTTTATTTTGTTGCAAGCTTCCCCCCCCCAGTCAGTACTTATCAATGAGAAACTGATTTGTCTTGTCCAAGCAGATTTTTTTGAGGGGAATGGGAGGGAAAGGAAGGGAAKGAAGGGAAAAGAAGGGTTCTTTATAACATTACATAAATTTGCATAGTTTTTCCTGTCTGTCTCCGCCATTTGTCTACCTCTTAAGTATGTATTTACCTACCTCTCAATTCTTTTCCCAGCACGGGCAAACTCATTTGTAGGGACAGCACAGTACGTTTCTCCAGAACTGCTGACAGAGAAATCTGCCTGTAAAAGGTAAGGATTTCATATTGTTTCAGTGAATTGTACTGACTTCCATCAGGACAGTATTAAATGGAAGAACATTTAGCATTTCAAAGAAAGAACATCTTTTATTGTAAAGATCTTGAAGTATAAAACATTTTTATTTTTTTAGGAAGCATTACTCATTGCCTTACCGTGTCTGAATGCTGGTTTTCTCAGTGATTTTTACCTTTTTGAGATCCTACAGATAGGATAGGTGTTTCCAGGAAAAGGTGGTATGTGCTGAAAAGTTTAATTACCCTTTTCCCCATGAATAAACAAAAAAGTACTTCTATCAAAAATCATCTCTTCAATTATCCTAAATAGAAGGTCTGCCTACTTTTTGATGCTATGGTCTAAGTAGCAGAAACTAGCATTCTTTTTGCATAGTTAATAGACTTATTATAGAAAAATATTAACTACTGTTTTCCGCTCCCCCCCCCCCCTTTTTTTTTTCCTTCAAAGCTCTGACCTATGGGCTCTGGGATGTATAATATATCAGCTTGTAGCTGGATTGCCTCCATTTAGAGCTGGGTAAGAGAGTTACCTGAATATGTTGGCTTGTACTATTTACCTTTACTCCCAATACTAAAGTGAAACTTGACTGTAGTATGCTTTCAGCCTTACTGACATGTCTGCTTTAATTTGTGTGATTTGTTTTTATACATATATATATAATATATATAAATAATATAATATTACAATATCTATAATTATATGTATTTATAAATTCTTTCTTCTTTTTTTCTTTTCCTTACTCTGCTTTCTGGAGTAATGCAAATGCAAAGATAAATATTTATAAAGTTTCTGGGAGATATTGCTAAATGTGCCCAAAGATTGCCTGTGTAGTTTATGTCATCTAGGAGACTATCTTCAAATGGGAATATTGAGCTGTTTAAACCTTTCATACTATTAATAAAGTCTCTAATGCTTTCAGGGTCATATTTAGAAGATTGCTTCCCATTATGTGTGTTGGAGAGACTTGCAGGAAATTGACTTTTCCTTGTAGATCTCCTATTTAATATTTATCAAACCTGTACACTACTAAGATGAAATAATTGTGGAGAACTAATAACTAGTGCTATTTTTTCTTTTGCAGAAATGAGTATCTTATATTCCAGAAGATAATAAAGTTGGAATATGACTTTCCAGAAAAATTTTTTCCCAAGGCAAAAGATCTTGTAGAAAAGCTGTTGGTAAATACTTGTTCATGTCAAACAATTTGATGACACTGGGTACATTCAACATATCATGTACTTACTTTTTCCTGAACCACATAGTAAGATCAACTCTTAGCATTACTGACTGCATAGGAGAACTGATACCTATGACTGAGCAGCACTTACATTTTTGTATCTGAATTCTAAAGCATGGACAGGAGATATGTCTTCTGGAAGTGGAAGCAAATTATTCTAAATACTGTGTAGTGTTTGTAAAATTTAAGATTCAAATATTCAGATTTATGCAATACTCAAGCTCTTTCTTAGCAAGTTGTGTAATGCATTATGCTTCCTTGAAAACAGTGTTTGGTATATCATGGAGCAATGTATTTGTCAAAATACAAATCAGCTTGTTTTGCATTTTAGAGCACTTAATCCATGTCTCATTACCGTATCAGCCAAATAGTTACCATTCATGTGAATGTTTGGCATGAGATGAGGATGGGGAGCATTGTGTCTAAATTGAATATAGCAGTGATATTAAAATGAATAAATTAATATGCAGAAAGCAGTTCAACAGGTTTTAGATTCCCTGAAGCTGCATAGTGTGCTGTGTTAGCATAGGGAATAAAAATACTTGTGTGATTTGCATCTTTGGATAGCAATGAGTGCAGTCCTTATAAAGGGTGTCTGTGCACATGCCAGCTCTATGGCCCATCTAGTACACACAGACTTGTGAGGTTCAGGTTGTCAACATCCGGAGAACTGTGCTGTTTTAAGAGAAGTTAGTCTTGGGCACCACCTACCGCTGCAAAAGCTGTCTTGCATCACCAGAATGTGTTACTAGGCTATACTTAAAGGAATGCTCCATTAGGCCTTATATCTGGGTTTTATTTCATCTTTATGAACAAAGCAAAGCCGAAAAAGTGTGCTCCACCCCCCAAAAAATGTCCCTTTTTCTAGCTATGGAAGCTGATCCAACACAAATTATGTCTGCAGGGCATACTAACAAGTAACGTCTTGTATTGTAGTCAGGCTTTTCATGGGCCTTGGTGGGCCTTCAGGGGCCTTGGTTCCGGAGGATGCTGAGAAGGCAGAGTTACTAAATGCCTTCTTTGCCTCTGTCTTTACTGCTAAGGCGACCCCCCCACAATGAACTGCAGGGCTCCAATAGGAGAGAGATAAATGGGCTAAAGGAAGACCTTCCGCAGGCTGAGAAGGATTGGGTTAGGGATCACTTAAGCAAACTGGCCACCCAAAAATCTATGGGCCCAGATGGGATGCACCCAAGAGTGCTGAGGGAATTGGCCGAGGTTATTGCTTAGCCTCTCTCCATCATCTTTGAGAGGTCCTGGAGAACAGGGGAGGTGCCTGAGGACTGGAAGAGAGCCAACATCACCAGTCATTTTTGAAGAGCCAGTCTTCAAAAAGGGCAAGAGGGAGGAGCCAGGCAATTACAGGCCGGTCAGCCTCACCTCCGTCCCTTGAAAGGTGATGGAGCAGTTCATCCTAGAGAGAATCTCCAGGCATAGGAAGGAGAAGGTGGTGTTGAGGAGCAGTCAGCATGGGGCCAAGTCCAGTTGGAGGCCTGTGGCCAGTGGTGTCCCCCAGGGGTCAGTACTGGGCCCGGTGCTGTTCAGTTTGTTCATCAATGACCTGGACAAGGGCACGGAGTGCACCCTGAGTAAGTTTGCAGATGACACCAAGCTGGGTGGAGTGGCCGACACTCCGGAGGGCTGTGCTGCCATCCAGAGGGACCTGGACAGGCTGGTGAGTTGGGCAGAGAGGAACCTCATGAGGTTCAATAAGRACAAGTGCAGGGTCCTGCACCTGGGGAGGAATAACCCCAGGCCACCAGTACAGATTAGGGGTCGACCTGCTGGAAAGCACCTCCACGGAGAGGGACCTGGGAGTCCTGGTTGACACTAAGTTAACCATGAGTGAGCAGTGTGCCCTCGTGGCCAAGAAGGCCAATGGGATCCTGGCCTGCATCAGGAGGAGTGTTGCCAGCAGGTCAAGGGAGGTGGTTCTGCCCCTCTACTCAGCTCTGGTGAGGCCGCACCTGGAGTACTGAGTGCAGTTCTGGGCTCCCCAGTATAAGAGGGACTTGGAGCTTCTTGAGAGGGTCCAGAGAAGGGCAACCAAGATGATTAAGGGAATGGAACATCTCTCGTATGAAGAGAGGCTGAGTGAGCTGGGCCTGTTTTCTCTGGAGAAGAGACGGCTCAGAGGGGATCTGATTAATGTGTGTAAGTTCAGGAAGGGAGAATGCGGGGAGGAAGGGGACAGGCTGTTCTCACTGGTGGCCAGCGATAGGACGAGGGGTAATGGCCATAAGCTGGAGCACAGGAAGTTCTGTCTCCAGGTGAGGAGGAACTTCTTTACTGTTAGGGTGACAGAGCCCTGGAACAGGCTGCTCAGGGAGGTTGTGGAGTCTCCTTCTCTGGAGGTCTTCAAAACCCGCCTGGATGCCGCCCTGTGCCACATGCTCTAGGTGTGCCTGCTTGAGTAGGAAGGTTGGACTAGATGATCTCTAGAGGCCCCTTCCAACCTTGAATATTCTGTGATATTCCATACATGTATATTTAAGGGAGTAAGATCAACTTAAGAGTTTCTGTGTGTCGCAGCACAAACGAGAATGGTGCTCAGTTTTTATTCAAGAGTGTTTTTCATTTTATGTGCACTAATTTCACTGTAATTTGTTCAGGTTCTGGATGCTACCAACAGATTAGGATGTGAAGAAATGGGAGGATATGAGCCACTTAAGGCCCATCCCTTCTTTGAATCTATTGCATGGGAGAACCTACATCTTCAGACTCCTCCAAAACTCACAGCATACTTACCTGCCATGTCAGAGGATGATGAAGATTGTTACGGAAATGTATGTTTGTCTTTTGCTAGAATCCTCTCTGCTGTTCGATATTGTCATAATTGTCATTACGTTAAATTATTACTTTATCAAATATTTGTGTTAAAACTACTGTTGATTATCTTTGAATGAAAAGATTCCATTAACAGAAATCAAAAAACAAATTTTAGGCAAAAGTTGAAGCACCTGTCATCTACAGATTAAGCTGTCTTTGTGCCCAGAAATGCTGAAACACATCAATGTCTTAAAGCCACTATAATTGTAACAAAAGAAACTTCTAAGAAAGYAAGCCACACTAATTTCCTTTTCTTTTTCCTTCTTTAGTATGACAATCTCCTGAGTCAGTTTGGTTGCATGCAAGTTTCTGGTTCTGCCTCTTCCCATTCCCTGTCTGCCCCAGAAACAAGTCCCTCACAGACATCTGGAGGCAACATAGAACAGTATATTCATGATCTTGACAACAATTCGTTTGAGCTGGACTTGCAGTTTTCTGAAGATGAAAAGAGATTACTTCTGGCAAAACAAGCTGGTGGAAACCCTTGGTAAAATCTTTGAATATAGTTACTTATTTACATCAAAGTAAGGAATTAAAATCACTTAGATTCTCCCGTTTTTTGTGAATATTGATGTATTCAAGTGAACAGTAGCAACTAGATTTTTCTTGTTGTCTAATTTTAAAGCAGTAGCATAAATACTCTAACATTGCATTTTTGAACTTTTCAAGGTCTAAAAGACGTGGAGTATGTGCACAGAACAGACAGAAGCAACACTATGCCAGTGCTGAGATGTCTGTCCCTCTACAGAGCCCTAGAACTAGATAGATTATTTCTTACAGTTGATCAAGTGTTTTTTGAATGCAGCTGTTCTACTGATGCCTAACCAAAATACCTCCAGATCTTGTGCTCAGTAGCATTTCCCTTCACTTTTGAGAAGAGTTTCCTATTTGTGACTCCTGACGGATTTTAGAAAATAACTGTTTAGGGTTGAATAAGGAAGCGTATGGATGGAATTAAAACCAGTCCAACCAGATGTTACAGGAAAAGCAAACTGCTAGAGAGACATAGAAAACGACTCAGTTAAAATAATGGTGGCTGTACTGCAGAAGAATTATTTGTGAAGTAAGTTATTTTTCTTTTTTTTAAGGCATCAATTTGTAGAAAATAATTTAATCCTAAAAATGGGCCCAGTAGACAAAAGAAAGGTAAGTTTTTGTTTTGTTTTTAAATCCACTGTAGCAAAAACTCAGTTGCCCCTTTCACAGTTGCTCTATCAATGAGGAATGTATTCTAAAACTTCCTTATTTCATGTAATTGCAAGTATCAAGCTTATTTATTTTTATAAAAGTAGTAGTGCTTTCCTGTAAATAAATGTGTGAGGGTGTGTGTGTGTTGGGGGGGGAGGTTCTCCCAAATTGTGGTATGCCCTTCATTTTTAGAAAAGGTAAAAAGTGAATGTAGTATTGGTGCTTTCATTTCAAAACTGCAATATTTCACCCCCCCGCGCCTTTTTCTGATAGCCAACTAAGTACTTGGGATGCATGTCTGCATTGTACTGAGTAACTAATATTTGGAGCTTAAATATTGTCCTAAATTGTTGTTTGTTTTTTCCTGGGTCTTATTAGTGTCTATATCTTGACAGAGGTTGAGAAGATGATATCAGAACAGCTTCAAATATGAACTGTAATATGGTACATAGGAGCAATAATAGTCTTAGTTTGTGTCAGAACCTGCAGAAATTTAAGTATCTGTTTCATTTAAGTTATTACCTCTTTCCTCCTTTTTTTCTACACAAAACCATGACCATTTCTGTGCAGGAATCTTTGAAAAGATATATTTTTTTCTTCATTCTATATAAATAATTGTACAACTAGTTTTATTATAACTTGGAGATGCTTGCTTAAAATACTGCTTATGTGTTGACATATAGTATTAATCCACTGAGATGCAGGAAAAAAAGATTGAGGTCATATACGTAAAGTAAAAGAAATCGTACTAAAATCAATCTTTTGAGCTGTTTCAGTTCTACTTCTCTTAAGTTCAGAGATCTATGATTTTACATCCCCATCTTCGCTTACCTTCCCTGTCAAACAAAAAGTCTGTTCTGTGCAATTGAGCGTATTGATTTTTGCTGGTGTACAGTCTGTAGATATTTCTCAGTAAACAACTGATCCATCTCATGGTAAGCCTCATCTTAGGAGTTTCAGTATAAGTGCAGATACCCCACAGACCATAGAAAAACATATTTGATCTTTTAAAGTAATTTTATTTTTTAAATCTGTGCATTTTTGCATTGCTGTTTTTACTTCCCTCATTAGGGACTGTTTGCGCGTCGACGCCAATTGCTGCTCACAGAAGGGCCCCATCTGTATTATGTGGATCCTGTCAACAAAGTCCTAAAAGGAGAAATTCCATGGTCTTTAGAGTTGCGCCCAGAAGCCAAGAATTTTAAGACTTTTTTTGTTCACACAGTAAGTGGCTATTTTTTTTTTTTATGGGTTATGTTAAGATTCTTGGAAAACTATTGTGAGTACTTTATATATATATATATTTGTATGTATAATTCTTTTTTTTCTTTTTCCAAGGGAGGTTTAAGTCCTTGAATACAGGTGTTAATTGCAGGATTACTTTGACTGTAGGTTTCTAGTCTTGATAACTTAACAAAAAAAAGAAGTCTTCAAATAAGTTTCGAGTTTTATTTGAGTCTCTTTTTTTGTGTGTTTTTTTTGTTTGTTTTTTTGGTTTTTTTTTAGTGGATTTTGTGGCCTGAAAAGTTCTTAAGAATGACTTTTGAAATGTAGTCTTTTGTGTAGAGTGGATCACAATTCTACACAAAAAGTATGCCAACAATATATTTCAGTTTGAAAAATTTTTGACTCTGACTAATATATACTTTTTTTTATAATTGTAATTAAATTTAACTTTTGAAAAGATTTTGAATTCTGTTTCTAAATACTCATTGGTGGGTGCAGAATACTTGCTGCTTTTTGGTTTAACTATGTCTGGAATACTCATTGAAATGTTGTTCACTTGTAGCCAAACAGGACATATTACCTGATGGACCCAAGTGGGAATGCTCATAAATGGTGCAAAAAGATACATGAAGTTTGGCGGCACAGATACCACCAGAATGCTGCTAAACAGTAAAGCTCATCCAAAATTTCCCAGTCTCCCTACTTGCTGCTAGAACTCCACGTGCAGCCGATCAGAGGAATCTTCCCAACCCACCTGTTACCCATCTCAAGGGGAAGCATATGTCTGAAATACTCTGTTTTTTTGTTGTTTTTTTTTTAAAAAAAAAAAAAAAGCAAAAACCTAATGGAATTCAGGGTTGCTTTGCTCGCTCTTTGTGCTTCTGTTGAGGCTTCCACATGCATATCATTGCAATGAAGATCTTGCTTTTGTGCACTTCAGCTCAATTTCTCCTGCAAACTAGTGGATAGACCTTGCATTACCAGCTTCACTTAAGAGCAGTTAAAACCAATCCACACGCGCACACACCCCAAATCATGCACCAGCCTTCCATTTTATGGAGCTGGAGTTTTCTGTGACTTTCAAATTATCATTAAACTGTATTTCATCAGGGAGCTTTTATGTGCCTCTCCTAAGCACCACCTTTTCATTTTCTCTTCCATTCCCCTCTGTTCCCTCGCTTACTGGTATATGGCATTTGTAGCCAGATCAGTTGCACCCTTGCATAACTCCCAATATAGTTCTGGTTGCAGGATTTATGTGGTACTTTATTAATTATGTGAATGAATCTGATGTATGTGCCTGACAGACAGACTCTGATGATAAAGGTTGTGAGAAAGTAAAATGATGAACATGGCATTGAAAGTTTTTCTAAAATTGAAATGTTGGCTTCTGAAGCATATAAAGTTTTAAACTTTTAATTTTAATTTGCATATGTGTGTTTAATCAAGGGACAGTGAACTTAACAGCATGCTTTTAACTAATGCTAAACAAAAAATCAACTAGTTGGTATAAAAAAAGTTACTATTGAAGTAGTAAATAGTTTTTCACCTTTTCAGGAGATGAGGGCTAGAAGCTTTCTTTCCAGGGTGTGCATGTATTGTGCATTTTAGTGGGGCCAACCTATTTACCTGGGTAGAGAAGGAAGTGTGAAAACTCTGTACAATGATTTTTGTCTCTTTGTATAATGAGATGTAAAAATAATCTTATTTTTGTTCTTTGGGAAAATACTTCAGACCTTTTAGCAGTTCTGGAAAAAAAAAAAAAGGTTAAAGGAGCTTAAATATTAGACCCATACAGTAATCTGGTTGGATGAAGGATTCAAATGAAAATGTTGATACAAAGGGAAAAATGTATGGTACTTAAGGCATATCTATAAAATGAAAATATTTTTCATATCAGTCTCTTTTATCCTTTTCAAATTAAGATTTTTTTTTTTTGTGGTCATACATTTCTTAGAATGTAGGAGAGGCATAACTTTCTGCATGCTAAAATTACTTCCCTAATGGTGTTTACAACACAGCTGTGTTTATGAATGTTGCGGAGACATGACCCAGGTATGGGCAAAGGCATTCCTTCCTTGTTTTAAATGCAGTATAAACATCACACCTATTAATCTTCTACAAATACTATCTCTGCACCTCTTGAGGTCTGTTATAAAGTGTTTTTCCTTCCACCAAAGGGGAAAAAAGAAAAAGTTCTCCTGTAACATTAAGAAAACTCATGGGCTATTTTGTGGCTTATCAGGGTGTCTCAGGAGATGAATGAATGATGGATTTACTTTTGCTGGGAGAGGGAGGTGTTTTCTAGATCTTAAACCAAATGGTGTTGTGTGGTTAAATTTGACGGCAGTTCAGTTCTTAGTCTCTTCCAGTCTTTGAAGGAGAGTGCAATTGCCTTTTTTTCTTTAGAGAAAAATATATTCTTGCAGTCATGTTTTATTTTATCCTACCATATACACAGGCTGGAGAAAAGTCAATCACTAGTTTACAGTGCCCAGTGTCAGCACAACTGAGGTTTCTTAAAAGTGACTGAGATGAGAAAAACAGACCACTCACTTTTCATCATAAGAAACTTCACTACATAGAAGGCAGACTCCTTGTCAGTGAAATCTGAATAGCACAGCACACCTTTTATTAAACTTATAGTTACAATAACAGAGATGATGTCCATTCTGAATTTCTTTTGTGGTGTTACCCTGTTCCTCTTCTGTAGCTGATGAAATCTATCTCTAAGTAGATTCACTAGAGGGAATTCTACATATTCTGATTTTAGCCTTTGGTATAGAGGTATTGAGGCATTCCTAACTTCATACCAGAAGGTTTGGCAGTGATGAAGCTTCGTAATGCTACTGTAGCTGTTCAGTGTGCCAAAACATTGCTTCCAAGAATCTCTGGCAAAGTTTATTAGTGAGTTCCTTAGCTTCAGTAGGAAACGAAGTGATCTCCATTGGCCTGTTCACTTGAGTTAAATAGGTGGAAATACAGAACATATTTTTGCCACATTTAGATGTGTAGTCATCTTGCCATAAAAAGTACTTTTTTTCCCTTTTCATACCTTAAAAGAAAATCCTCTGTCTAGTTGTTCCTTGCCCCTACTTGCCCCTCTTCCCCTCGAAAAAAGCATTCAGCCAAAGACATCTTCACAGCAGTAAACTGCAGAAATTGAAATTGATATCTGTATTTGTGTGTGTGGTGCTTTTGTTTGTTTGTTTTTGAGGTGGGAAGATGGTTTAGATGATATCATTGTGGGACCTCTCTTACTGGCATCCTTCCCTTCAGAACTTAAATGCTTCAAGTTGAGTCTTCCTTAACTGCTGCCTTTCTGCACCCTTTTTTTTT